TTTTTTTTTAACGTTTATTTATTTTTGAGACAGAGAGAAAGCATGAACGGGGGAGGGGCAGAGAGAGAGGGAGACACAGAATAGGAAACAGGCTCCAGGCTCTGAGCCATCAGCCCAGAGCCCAACGTGGGGCTCGAACTCACGGACTGCGAGATCGTGACCTGAGCTGAAGTCGGACGCTTAACCGACTGAGCCACCCAGGCGCTCCAGGAGAGTTTTAAAAAAACAACAAAAATACTCAACACAGGGGTTCCTGGCTGGCTCGGTTGTTAGAGCATGCAACTCTTGATTTTGGGGTTGTCAGTTCGAGCCCCATGTTGAGTGTAGAGGTTACTTAAATAAAAGTTTTAAAACCCTTAAGAAAATGTGAGGCACCTGGGTGGCTCAGTCAGGTAAGCATCTGATTCTTGATTTTGGCTCAGGTCATGGTTTCACGGTTCGTGAGTTTGAGCCCTGCATCCGGCTCCATGCTGACAGCGTGAAGCCTGCTTAGGATTCTCTCTCCCCATCTCTCTCTGCCCACCCCACTCATGGACACGTGTGCTCTTTCTCTCTCAAAATAAACTTAAAAATAATAGTAATAAATAAAAACATTAAAAAATACTCAACATAAAATATAATTATCACTATTTTACTGAAATCTAAAAAAAAAGCTATGCCTCTTATAATGTAAACAAATCATCCTAATTGCTGCTGATTAAAGTTTAAGATATTTAAGGGTGAAATAAGGATTCTAATTTAATAAAAGGACAAAAAAAAAACAATTCTTAGAAAACACTTCTCTACAATTACAAAATGTTGCTATGGTCCTTTTGACAGATTATTTTCATGTCACAAATTTTTGAATTATAAAACTGTAATTCTTTAGTTTCCCAGAATATCCTCTGCTGTAAACCACTTGCCCCAAATTCAGCACCTACTTTAAAAAGGGCCTTGACTGATGGTCTATATGAAAATCTGTTGCTTCTTTCCTGTAAAATAATCAAAATGACAAGTTAAGAATTACATAAAAAAATTATTGTAGCTTACATTAATAAAATAAAATAAAGATGAAGTTCTCTACTTATTTGATTGGTATGGAAACTGATTAATGACTTTTCACTAAATATTCTGTTCAAATTGTCCCACCTTTCAAAGTTTTTGCTAGCTGAATATCTATTAAGATGTAAAATTACAATGAATGTGAGAGGCAATATTTACGTTTCTCCTCATGTTATCTATTATCTTCCCTTTCATCAGCATCTTTAATATTCTTGAAACAAAGTGTAACGTTTGACCAATAAGAATTATTTGTTTTTTAGAAGTCAAATAAATTACACTTAAAAATGCAAATTGATCTTCAAATTCAAAATCTGTCACTTTCTTCTCCAGGCTTCAAACTTGAAAGGTCAGGCTAGAATTTTAACTTAACAGTTACAGTTTTCTCTCTGAGATCTCTGCCAAGGAAAGGCTATATACTTGTGTTTTTAAAATCTGTTTGACAAATTAAGCATATCAATGTATTCTTATTGGTTGTTAATATATTAAAAACTAATGCTTTAATTAACGTCATCAGAAAAGGAAGGTCAATATGGAGATACTCAGAATTTACTAAGGGCAATAGGAATTTACTTTTTAAATCTATATTCCCACAAAAGAATATCTATAGAGACACTGAAAGAATAAAAGATTAAATTGATTGGCTAAAAAGTCTAAACAACTTTTTATCTTAATCAAACCAGGTGTCTCTCAAACTCAGACAGTTTTAAAGGCTTTGAACTGAGTACACATTATATAACGAATATGTCAACATTAACTACTTTTTAAAATATCAAATAAGTTTTCAAGTGTCCTCCAGCATAGGATTATCCTTTCAGGCATGAAAATTAACTTAGTCTGCAGTGTTTTAAGATTTTACGAACCTACTACCAAATGAATTCACACAGTAAACTATAGCAGGCATACTCTTATTCAAACCAAATATACTGAAATATTTTCTTCAACTAGGAACAGATTATGAAAAGTATACTATGCGAGTATAAAAAATAATTAATAAATAAATAAAAATTCATCCCAAGAAATGAGAGGGGAAGAAAACTCATCTTTCTAGAACCTATTATGCCAACATTAAATCATTTCATTTCTCACAATACATTGAAATTGGTATGATTACCTGCATTTTGCTCATGAAAATAATGAAGTTCAACATGATTCCATAACTTGTCCAGGTAAAGTGCTAGTAAGAGAAGGAGGGTGGGGGAGATGAACCCAAATCTCTTGCTGCAAATCTCTATTTACACCCTTTCTGTTACCAACTACAGAGGGTCGGAAGAATTCACAAAAGTGAAATGGATATATTGTGCTGTGGCCTAAAATGAGGTAAAACTGTCTGAAAAACTCATGTGAGAGCATTTTAAGAGAATTCGCAGCAAGGGGCACCTGGGTGGCTCAGATGGTTAAACTGACTCCTGATTTTGGCTCAGGTCACGATCTCACGGTTAGTGGGTTCGAGCCCCACATCAGGCTCCATGCTGACACTGCGGCACCTGCTTTGGATTCTCTTCCTCTCCCTCTCTCTCTGTCCCTCCCTTGCTCGCTTGCTCTCTCTCAAAATAAACTTAAAATTAAAAAACAGAATTAGCAGCAAGATGACTCAAACAACCAATTCTAAACTTTTCAACAAAACTAAGCTACTAAAAAAGAAAACAAAATCAATCATAATCTTTAACACTGATGAAAAGACAAACATTAATTCCGAAAAGTGCTTCACTATTTTCTTCTAACATGTCACCGACCCCATAGTTATCTCCATTCAACATCCAAAATTGGAACCAAGATGAGGGTTCATGAATTCTTCCCATCAAGGGCATCACCACAGAAAGGAGTTTTGTTGTTGTTTTGTTATGTCTTGCTGTGTTTTTATAAGGAAACCGTTCTCCCACAAAGATTTGTCCATTAATTCTTTCATGAAATATTTACTTAGTGCCTAGCTTGAATCAGGCACTGATCGAAGAACTAGAAGTTCAAAGTCAGATGCAACTCAGCTGCTGCCTTTCAGGTACTGTCGTGACTGGGGAACTGGCATTTGAACAGACAAGTTTAGCAAAGATGTAAGCACTGGAAGATACTCCTCCATGGGTCTCTGGTGCTCGTATCGTGACTTACTGGCTGGGCCAAGAATGCAAGGCCCCACTGCCCTCCCTCCTAGCCTTTTCTCCGAGTCACAGTTGCAGTGAGCCACTCGGAGGGATGAGGTCATGTCTCTCTTCAGTACAGAGAGCAGCCTGTGTACTGCTTGCCTACCGAAACAGTGGGTAACCCAAGTTCAAAGCGCCTCAGCTCTGATGCAATCAACTGCGTATACAAGATCCACCTGGATCCGTATCATCTTATTCCCACGGGACAAGGAGGCAAGGAGAACCAACATAAGCGCGATGCTCCTGCGGCTTTGCTGTACCATCATAAAGTCCTTTGTCACCGACCCAGGTGTCTCACGTCTTCGCTAGCATCCATGAAAGAGTAACAGACTAGCTCGTTAGCTTTCCAGTTGGACAAAATCCAAGACTTGACATTAGGATTAATAGAGATGTACGAGGTGCTATAAAAAAATAAGGAAGCGGTGAAGTGTCCCTGGGCATCTTTATCTTGGGAAGTTTGATGCCTAATTTATTAAGCACTAGTGGTATAAAGACAAAAAAAAAAATTTAATCTCATTGAAACTATTCAAAGGCATTTCTCCAGAATGCAGTCCCATCACCTGCTGTGAGGGCAAGCATTCATGACACATACAGACATAGGACAAATTTAACTACTTATAAACGGGCATGACCTCAGCTCCACTAGATAATAATATCACCAGATTACCACTACTAATAACAATAGCTAACTTCATATACACTGACCATGTGTAGGGGTCTTTCAAAGCACTTTACTTATATTAAACTCCCATAATCCTTATAACAACTTTACGATACAGGTGGTTATAACCTCCATTTTGCAGATGAAGAAAACGAAGCACAGAATAAACTGTCCAGAGTCACACACCTACTAAGAGGTGCAATTACATGCAATCTGGCTCTGAATTCTGTGCTCTGAAACTTAAGCCTCCTGCCTTTCTAGAAGATATGCAAACTGCAAGACCTTACACACAGGAAGAGTTCAAATTAAATGTATGTCATTGTTGGGATAAACTTGAAGGTGTTTCATTAAGGTATCTGGGGATCAGACTTAGCAAAGCTGCATTGAATATCTACAGTTACTCATTGTCCCTGTCCTCACGGAGCCAAAACAGCAACTGTCCCATACAATATATATCCGGGAATAGCAGTAAGACACCTGACCAAAAAAACCAACCAAACAACCAAACAAAAAAACACGCAAGAAAACAAAAAACAGAAACAAAAACACCCAGTGGAGTAACATAAGAAGGCCACTGGAGCCAGTTCTGCCTAACTGCCACATTAATGTCCCTACCGAGGGGTAAGTCCTGTTTTCACTAAATAACTTAGAGACTATCAGGTCAGACAGAATGGACTGCTTTTCAGAGTAGTAAATCAGGGTATGTGCCAATGATACCCATTGGGCGGAGCAAAATGTAAACATTTCCAAAGGCCTCCCTTTGGGAAATCCCAACAGTAATACTCCCTCATCAAGTAGAAATACTTAAACGTTCATTTCCTCTTCTATCATTTTCACACAGTGTGTTATACTTCCATATTAAGGAGAAGAGATGACGATTATCCAGCGTCGGTGTTATAAAAGCCAATGGAGTTAGGGAACACGATAAAAGTGAGGCAGGTACAATCTGACAATTCCTACTTGCTTGGAGTTCAATTATTATTGGTGAATATAATTACCTGTGGTCTTATTATTTTCTCATTTTAATAAGATTAGTGTTCTATCCTTTGCCACTCAGTGAGAGGCTTTTATTTTAAACAGTGACATGAAAAATAACAGATGATTTAAAAAAGAAAACAATACGGAATCAGACTTTACATGACTGAAAATGGCCAACAAGTTACCTTGAAAGCGTCATCATTTTGAGTTTGGTTATAGTAAATCCGGCTTTGTTTATCATTTCAATTATTTCTCCAGCTTTTGATATTGCATCTGGTTTAATCAGAGCCAACGTTCTGTAAGGATATAAAGGATAAGTTTGAAAATAAAAATAGTTCAGTGTTTACTTACAATTCCGAAGCAGTGGTAGTTTCCTTAACAATCATCCTACATCATAAAACATTGAAATCAATTCCAAAGAGAAGTGTATCAAAGGTCTCTTTAAAACTTATACAAGGTAAGCTTACTATTTTTCCCAAGAAAATATAAACTTAGGTACCCAATCTAAAAAAAATAATAAAAGCTTACAGGGGAAAAAAGTTCACATTGTCATGTTTAATATGCCCAAATTAATGCAGGGAAGGGAAAATTCTTCCTCTACCCTCCAAGGTCTTCCGACTGGACTGAGAATTAAATTTACACGAGGCAGAGTAACAGGAGAAAAAGCTGAAGTTTCGTCATGTGTGCATGGAGGCCCAATAATGAAGTTGAGACCCAAAGAAATGACGAAAACAGGCAGTTTTTATACTTCTTAAACAAAGAGACAGTAAATTTGTGAGGGATTGACAGGATAAAGAAAACAGATGTGGGGCGCCTGGCTGCCTCAGGCAGTCGAGCATGGGACTCTTGATCTCCGGGTTGTGAGTTCTAGCCCCCACATTGGGTGTAGAGATTACTTAAAAATAAAACCTTTAAAAAAAAAAAAAAGAAAGAAAGAAAACAGATGTTTAGGAGCTTTAATTAGTAAGGAATTCAAAGCAGAATTTGGACTTCTGTGGTAGATTAGAAATAAAGTAACAATGTTTGTTTCTACAGCTGTGTTGGCTTTAAAGTTCCTATCTCTGTGGTAATAAGGGATCTCTTTACTTCTTAGTACAGGGAGCGCACCTTTTATAGGGGAGATCTACTTCCTCTATTCAGGGGGACAGAAGGGGATCCGAGTGTCCTTGCACCAGCTGCTTAAGTAACTTTTATTAAAATAATATGCCAAAGTGGCACATTTTGAGGCAGACCGTCCTTGGCCCCCACGTTAGAAAACACTGGTCTTTAAAATATCTGTTTCTTAGAACACATTTTATAAAAGAGAACAAATCTTTAAAATATTGCATTTACTATATTATGAGCTTGGTTTTTGGTCTCTTAGACTTTAACAAATGTATGCTATGCAGTCAGTTCAGCATTGATTTGGAAATAATTATAAATTCTTCTTTTAACACTCAAGCATAGCATGAGGGATGCACAAAGAACCAAATGTCTTCTTGCCTGGCAATGTAGACAGATGGCAAACACCATGCTAATTTTTACAATCACAGTCTCCTCCAAGAGGACACATAGGAGCAAAGCACCCTCTCTACTCTGAAGCCACAGAATTAATCGATTTTTGGCGATGGCGACCGCCCGAATGCCCTCGCTTCGCTGATGCGGTAACTAAGCCTGGAGAGCAGTCACGTGCAAGGCTGCAGAGCCGGTCAGCGGCACCTTCAGGACAGAAACATCCAGCTCACAAGACTTGCGGGTCTGCGCTCCTTCCACACCACAAGCAAGGTCACTCTGAGTATCATCAGAAAGGAGCACAACCACAAAACCCTCGAGGGTAATACTTGCAAATACAAGAAGAAAATAGAACTAGTCGGAGTAATTCAGTTTGCAGGACGTGCAGAATTATGATAATGAACTGCTACCACTTGCCCTTCATCATTTCTGGGTGTTCTGACACGCCGGCAATATTTCAAGGAATGCACACGAGAAGAATGGCCTTTTCAGAGCTTTCTTCCCCAGTGAGACAAGCTTGGCTGAGGCTCTGACAAAGATATAATAATTCAAACATCCTTACTTTCAGTGGGATGTCACCCATGGCTGCCTTTTAAAACTTATAAATAACAAAGATTGTTCATCTCAGTGTGTTTATGACAAGCCATACCGGACAATCCTTTCCTTTATTTTGAAGCAAATGAGTCGCTGATAGTATTTTATATTATATGGCTTCACTGAAGATGCAATTAAAACTCGTCGTTTTTTAGCTCACGTTATTTAAGTATCATAAGCCACACTAACCCCTGAACTGTTTATGCTGAACTGTGGGCGAATTTTCTGGAACTATAGCTCTTTTTTTTTTAAATTTTTTTTTTCAACGTTTATTTATTTTTGGGACAGAGAGAGACACAGAGCATGAACGGGGGAGGGGCAGAGAGAGAGGGAGACACAGAATCGGAAACAGGCTCCAGGCTCCGAGCCATCAGCCCAGAGCCCGACGCGGGGCTCGAACTCACGGACCGCGAGATCGTGACCTGGCTGAAGTCGGACGCTTAACCGACTGCGCCACCCAGGCGCCCCTGGAACTATAGCTCTTAAAGAAAATATAAACACATCAGCAGCCATCGATTTCGAGGAACAAGCACCAGGGTGGAAAATGCAAAACGGACAGAACTGAATTTAAAATGCAATTTCATTTTCTCTTTAAATGCCTACATTAAAGGCTGACTACTAGGAGTAACCACTGTAAATAGATTCGCCTATCGTGTCCTCGTTGCTTAACTCTTTAGTACATAATAGTTAAAATCTATCCTGAACAGAAAATTCGACGGGCACGAGAAGTCACACGTGCTATTTAAGTGAGGACAGCACATAAACAATAGGACCACAAAAATATTATTAATAGTGCTGCTGTTCTCTGTCGCCGTGTAACGCACCATAACAACACTCCAAGCCGTCCCAAAGGTGAACGTGTTTCAAACTGCTGCGCTCCTCGCTTGCTGGCTGAAGTCCCCCGGGCTGGTGCAGGACTGACCTACTGGCCTTGAGGAATGAAGGACCAGACTTTCCCAGAAGATAAGATCTGACCACATTTGAAAACAGCTGCCACTGATGCCAACAAGTCTGTTCAGGGCCAGGTCGATGTACGACTAACTGCCTGGGCACCTGCTTCTCCTGCACGGAGCCCCCGCCATTTCCCGCACCTTCCCCCCTGTTAGAACCCTGTGGCTTTGTCTGGACATGGAAGATGGCCTTTGAGACATCAGTCCACCATCTTCCCAGGATGCCAACTTCCTGAATAAAGCAAACTTCTCTTTCCCACCATCGCTTGTCTCTCCAGCATTGGTTTTTTTTTTTGACTGCCGAGCAGCCAAACTTGACTTGAGAATCCATTCTCTGTCCAGTAACAGAACCATCCCAAAATGTGGGGGCTCAAAACAATAATTGCTCAAGATTCTGTAGGTTGGCTGCAGTGGTTTCACCGGATATCATTCACACAGCCGTGTGCAGCTGGAGGGTCAGCTGGGACAGCTCCCAAGGGCTTTCATCCTTTGGAGGCCACACCAGGCTTCTTCATATGCGGTCACATAGAGTCCAGAGTGCAAACATTTATCACGCATCCCCTTGAGACATGTCTACTGACGTCCCTTTGGCCAATGCAAGTCACATGGTCAAGTCCAGAGTCAACGTGAGGGGGGACTGGACAAGGGCACGATACCAAGAGGTGCGATTCACTGGGGACCACCGCTGTAACAACCCACCGCGTGGTAATCCTCTCACCTGGCACTGAGCGGGATGTGGCAGGAGATGCTCTCGAAACAAAAGAAAAACTATAAACCATTCTTTTACACTAAAAACTTCTTAGCAATGGAGAGTGAAAAAACAGTTGGGCCAGCCTTCACAGAACTCAGATAGGACACAGAATTCTGCAAACTAACAGCTTTCATGGAGCCATGCACAAGATGCGTTCTCCATCCGCCAGTCAGGCTCGGGGCAAAAATTGCAGCGAACATGTATGGGATAAAGATGACCAGTCAACCGCTGTGGAATAAACATCCTCCACAGTGCAGGGCAGTAGACTCTTTGAACGCTGTCCACCTAAAGGGATATATTTGTAAACTTTAATCTGTATTAATTTATCTAAATATTTCAAAAGTTATGCATATTGGCCGAAAGCATGTAAAAACCTGTTCTAAAATATCAACCCAAAGCCAAATTTGGGGTCTCTTTCACGCTTCCTTTGCAAGCGTACAGCATGTGTTTGGCCCCTGGATAAAGGAGAATAGTCTCAGAATAGGCCCCTGTGGCTTGGAGGCAATGGCAGTGAGTCAGAGCTTTTGACTGGCAACAACGGCAAAGTCATTCAGGGCAGCCCTTCCACGGAAAACTAAACACAGTGGGTACGATAGTTTTTAAAGAGTTTTCAAGCAAAAAGAAATGGGCTGGATGCTAAACAATTATTAGCACAAACGTAAAAGAAAAACGGAGATCCAGGGGAATAAGAACAAAAGTCATGTCTCCCTTGCCGGCATTGCCTCTGGCAAATCCAAACTTTAATCTGTACCCCATCACTGGGAGAGGGCAACAGAACCCAACAGAGTATTCTCCCTGTAATACTCTGGGACCAAAAGCTACGCCCTAAGGGTGAGTCAGATAGAACCAGGCCTTGCGTGGCCCGGCAGCACAAATTCACATCACTTAGGGAGCCTGGGAGCGTCCAATTCTGCACAATTCTGGTAACGGTCATCCAGACTGCTAATCCCTCCAGCCAAAACTCAGAAGCAAACACAATTCCACCCTAGATGTCAGGTAACTTCATCCTGTACCTCAAATAATTCATCTATAAATGCCCAACACACATGTATATCACAAGCACGTTCACATCCACACACATCCAGACACATGACAATCAATACCACACACACACACACGCGCGTGCACGCGCGGCACGCGTGCGTGCACACAAAAAAGTAAAAAAAGACCAACCTGAGAAAGAACCAGAAGAAACAACGCAGAACAGAGACAGCCACAGATAGTTCAGCTACTGGAACTGTCAGATGCAGACTGTGAAAGGACCAGACAAAAGGAAGGACTGAAAGACAAGGTGCAAGCATCATAAGGCAAGAGAAGTCCAAGCTATGAACAACGGATACTTAGGTTTGAAAAAGAATCTATGAGAGGACCAAGTGATAAAAAAACACAAAAATGAAAATAAGCACCAAACGGGCTGACAGCAGACTAGATGTACCTGATGGAAGAATTCTGAACAAATTCAGAATGAAGCACAGAGGAACAGAAAGATAGGACATAGCTAAGAAGATAG